CAGGACCAGTAGAAGGCGGAAGACCAAGAACCTGCTCAAGGAGCGGAACGAAGTATGGCCGCGGCCGCGCAGTGCCTCTAGAACCAGCAGGGACAGCAGCAATACCCCCAGCGGCAGTACCAGCGCCAGCAGCACCTCCAGCTCCAACAGCGCCAACTCCAACACCCTCAGAAGCACCAGCACCAGCACCAGCAGAACCACCAGCACCAACACCCCCAGCAGCTCCAGCTCCAGCAGCTCCAGCAGCACCACCAACAGCAGCACCAGTAGCTCCAGTACCGCCAGCAGCTCCACCAGTAACTCCAGCAGCCCCAGCAGCACCCCCAGTCCCAGCAGCTCCATAACCGTCAAGACGAGCCCCTCTGACACCAGCAGCAACAGTAGTACCTCCAGCTTCAGCAGCACGGCTCCAGCGCCGGGCAAACCACTCGCGCAGCTCCTGTGGAGAGAGTGGCTCCCGCCTCGACGAAGCACCGCCGACGGCCACACGAGCAGACCCAGCACCCCCAGGCTCCGCACCCCCAGGCTCCGCACCCCTAGGCTCAGCACCCCCAGGCTCAGCACCTCCAGACTCAGCACCCTCAGGCTCAGCACCCCCAGACTCAGCACCCTCAGGCTCAGCACCCCCAGACTCAGCACCCCCAGGCTCAGCACCCCCAGACCCAGCACCCGCAGGCTCAGCAGCTCTAACAGCACCAGAGTCAACAGCTACCTCGACAGGCTCGACTGCGTCTACCTGGGACACACCTGACGGGGCAGGACCCTGAGGGGGGAGGGGGTCTACCGGGGGAGGACCTGGCGCAAGGAAGAGCGGCGGCGGGGGAAGGGGCGCAGTGCGGTAGGGGAAGAGACGGTAGTAAGGTACCGACTCGTCAAAGGTGACGTCCTGCGAGGACAGAACACGGCGCGAGGTGGGGTGGTAAAGCTGCCAACTAGGCGCGTCAGGGGGGAAGCCAAGGAAGACGCAGGGAACAACACGGGGGGACAGCTTGTCCGCAGACAAGTCGCGGACAAACGCCTGAGATCCCAAGACCCGAAACGCAGACGCGTCGCCAACCTTCCCCGTCCACCGCAAGGTGGGGGAGGTCTCTGGTAAGGAGACCGGGGGCTGAAGGTTGAGCTGATGCACTGCGTACTGAACCGCAAACGGCCACAGAAAATGGGGGGCAGCCGCATGGATCATGGACGTACGAGCGACGTCCATGACCATGCCAATGCGGCGCTCAGCAATCCCATTTTGCTGTGGAGAGGCCGGAAGCGTGAAGGTCTGGCGGATGCCCTGTGCACGACAGAAGGCTCTTAGACGGGCAGAGGAAAACTCCCCGCCTCTGTCAGAGTGTAGACGCAGAACAGGAAAGTCCGAGCCGAAACTCTCTCTGAGCTGGAGACGAGCTGCGCGGATCCAGTCAATCAACACCTCAGTGACGTCACCCTTGCTGCGCAAGGGGAAGACTGTGGTGTAATGCGAGTTGTTGTCTACCACCAACAGAAAGTAACGCTCGTGCCACGGACGCGGGCGGGGCCCCACACGTCCATGTGGAGAGTCTGCAGTGGAGCCTCTGTCGGAGGAAACTCGGAGGAGTGAGGGGCGGCGCGCTGTCGCCCCTCGACGCAGGGGATGCAGGTAGGGGCAGGCCCCAGAGGTAGGGGAGGGAGAGACCGGGGGAGACCAGAGACAAGGACACGGGCGGCCATGCCTCGGAGACGAGGCAGGGAGGGGTGACCAAGACGGTGGTGCCAAAGGAGAGTCTGGTGGGACAGGAGACGACACGAGCAGGGAGAAGACTCAGGACCAGACCTGGACGCTGCAGCAAACACCTGACTCGACGCAGCTTCCTGGCCAGACTCAGCAGCCGGAGGAGACTCAGTAGTAAGGGTGTACAGGCTCGACCCAGGACGACGGGTGAACGTGGCCAAGTGTCGGCCTGTCCGAGCACACGTGCAGTGGGTCACCCGCTGACTCGCAGGAGTCAACTGGTCAACCCCCCTATCCTGTAGGTCTGCTCCACTCACCAAGTTCGTAGAGAACGTGGGGAAGTAGAGACCTGACAGGGTGCCAGAGGGGGTTGCCGGGCACGGTAAGACAGTGGAGAAGCTAGCAAGGACAGGACCCCCAGACGGGTCCACTAGGGAGACTGCAACTGGCCGACTAAGCGGCTTCAGCGTGGTGCGGTCTCGAAAGAAGGAGCGGGAAGCACCCGAGTCAAGGGTGAAAGTGTGTAAGGCCTGAGCCGACGTAGTACCTGAGAGAGCAGACTCACCAGCACCTGGGGCAGCAGACGCACTAGCACCTGGGGCAGCAGGCGCACTAGCACCTAGAGCAGCAGCCTCACCAGCACCTAGAGCAGTAGCCTCAATGCCCGGGTCAGGCGGTACACACAGGTAACAGTCACCCTCAGCACTAGTAGACACAGCATACATGGCAGCAAGGATAGCATCATAGTCAAGATCAAAGATGGCAACCCCCGCCCTAGACAGATCTCCCCAGCGAGGGATCTCTGACGCCTCAAGGAACTGGTGACGCCATGCGTCCGTCAGGCTCCCGAAGCAGCGGTGGGTGGAGTGGGGGCCCCCGCACTGCTCACCAGCGCGGTCGCCGGTACGGAGGACGTAAGTGCAAGGACCAGTACCCCCACCGCGCTGACGCGCAGTGTACCACTCACGAAGCTGCTGAGGGGACAGGGTCTCACGACTGCGCTGCTGCTGCTGGCGCGGACCACCACCAGACCCACTCCTCTGCACAGAGTCGCGACCAGCTCCACCGCCGCCGCCGCCGCCACCTCCGCCGCCTCCGCCACCTCCGCCGCCTCCGCTCCCTCCGCCACCACCGCCGCCTCCTGCGCCTCCACTGCTGCCACCGCCGCCGCCACCCTCGCCACCACTCCCACCACCACCCCCACCCCCTCCACTGCCTCCACCACCACCTCCATTGCCCCCGCTAGCCCCTCCAGCTCCCTTGCCCCCCTTGCCCTTGCCGGTGCGGCGTCTCTTGCTAGGGGCAGACGCAGCGCCGACCCCGTAGAAACCATCGAGGTCGACCGCAGCAGCAGAAGCAACAGAGGGCAAGAGGGGGGAGGGGGAACACCCCTCAAAGACGGGGGTGCGAGGGTCACCACGAGAGGCTCCTACAACGACTATGCTCTTCTCGGCTGCTAGGAGGCGCTCCTCGAGGAGGTCAACGGTGAGTGTGGTGGGGCAAACTGAGAGGAAGTGGTCCCTGACTAAGCGAAGAGAGTCAGGGAGCCGGGTGACTATGTAGTAGAGGGTGATGTACATGGGGGGGGGTGTTCTTGGCGCAGAACTCAGTAGGAAGCGCAGCGCGGTAGCGAATGTCACTAGTGCGGAGGTGCGTAGTGAGGTCAGCGACTGTGGGAAGGCAGCAAGGTCAGGGAAGAGGTACGGTAGCATGAGGCGGCTCAGTGCAGCAGTGGCAGGGGAAGAGTAGCGTGCAACTACAGCGTCGTACAAGGTCTGAGCACTCTTGTACTGGCTAAAGTGCGCACACTCAGTGGTCGGTAAGTGGCGACGCACAACAAGACGGGCAGAAGCATCACGTGTCGCCCACTGTGAGCGAACAGTGCTGTCAGCAGTAGCAGGCTTGGCAAGGGAGGCACTAGAGGCGAGGTCAAACAGGGAGAGGCCGTCTGCCCTATCGCATCAGAGGAACAGTTGGAGGTCATTGACCTAGACCTCAAAGTCAATAGCACGACCCTCAGTATCAAAGGTAAGAACACTGGGGGTAGCCATGACTGCAGTGGCCTAGCAAGGAGTGAGCTCACCAGTCCGAGTAAGTAGGGCAGGGGCGCGCCGGTAGGACGAGGAGCGGCTCGACGGCAGGGCGGCTAAGCTGCTCAGCGGCTCGGCTGCTGGGCGGCTCGGCTATCGAGCGGCTCGGCGGTTCGGCTGCTGGGCAGCTCGGCGGCTCGGCTGCTGGGCGGCTCGGCGGCTCGGCTGCTGGGCGGCTCGGTGGCTTGGCGGCTCGGCTGCTTGGCGGCTCGGCGGCTCGGTTGCTGGGTGGCTCGGCGGCTCGGCTGCTGGGCGGCTCGGCGGCTCTGCTGCTCGGTTGCTCGTTAGGGGCGGCGTTGGGGCCACTAGGGGCGGCGACGGGGCCGCTTAGGGAGGGGAGCGGCGACGGGGCCGTGTAGTGGCGGCGACATGGCCGCTTAGAGGCAGCGACAGGGCCGCGTAGGGGCGGCAACGGGGCTGCTTAGGGGCAGCGACGGAGCCGCTTAGGGGCGGCGACGAGGCCGCTTAGGGGAAGAGGCGGCGACGGGGCCAGTAGGGGCGGCGATGGGGCCGCTAGGGGCGGCGACGGGGCCGCGTATGGGCGGCGACGGGGCCGCGTAGGGTGAGAGGCGGCGACGGGGCCGATAGGGGCGGCGATGTGGCCGCTAGGGGCGGCGAGGAGGCCGCGTAGGGGCGGCGACGGGGCCGCGAGGGGCGGCGACGGGGCCGCGTAGGGTGAGAGGCGACGACAGGGCCGCTAGGGGCGGCGACGGGGCCGCTAAGGGCGGCGACGGGGCCACGGAGGGGCGGCGACGGGGCCGCGTAGGGGCGGCGACGGGGCCGCGTAGGGTGAGAGGCGGCGACGGGGCCGCTAGGGGCGGCGACGGGGCCGCTAAGGGCGGCGACGGGGCCGCGTAGGGGCGGTAACGGGGCTGCGTGAGGGGCGGCGACGAGGCCGCTAGGGGCCACTGGGGGCCTGGAAAGGGCGGCAAAAAAAAGGCGCGCCTCGGGCAGGAGCGACTGGCGCTCCGGTCAGAAAGGAAATTTTCAGTGGTGGGCCCAAGGAAGTGTTCCCACTAGGGAACCTGCTCTATACCATGTGAAGAATGAGGAATGAATGAACTAGCAAGCAGATGGGTACAAGTAGGAAAACCTAGAAGTGTTGTACTCCATATAGTCTACCCCACTAAAGCCTACACAGACTATAGTATAAGAGTTTGACACTCCAAGCCTCTTAGTCTCTCCGAGCCTCCGGTTCTGAGGCTCGGCTCCATATGGGTCGGTCGAGGGGAGCCGGGGAGGAGGACCACGCGCCTAGTGGGGGTTCCAGGTGAGAGGGTACTATGTGCGCTGATGCTAGTAGCGGGTGAGCTACCAGGGAAGACGCAGGGAGGTGGACTGCGCTTCTGGTACTACACTTGAGATTTGATACTAACGGGTGTGCTACTAGGGAATAAGCAGGGAGGAGGACCATGCCACTAGTGAGGGTCCAGCCAGGTTGGTAAGTGGTGCTTTGTAAGCTGTATTGCATGTTGCTGGTGCTAGTAACGGGTGAGCTAATACGGAATACGGAGGGAGGAGGATCATCTTCGTCCTAATGGAGGATATATCATATATGTGAGGGGGGTACTGTGTTGTATGGCATGTTGATGGTGCAGGTAACGGGGGAAGCAGCAGGGAAAGCTCAGGTTTCCCCTTCCTCTTTTCCTCCCTTTCCTTCCCATTCTCGCTTCCCCCTCCCCCTCCCCCTCCCCTTCCCCTTCCCCCAGACCCAACCGCTGCCGCTATGCCACCACAAGTTGGCAAGACGCCGTGAGGGGGTAGCAGCGGGGAAATTTCCTTTCCCCCCCCCCCCCTTCCTTTCCCCCCCCCCCCCCCCCTCCCTTTCCCCCCCCCCCCCCCTTCCCCCCATGCCCGTCCCCTTCCCCCAGACCAAAGCGCCGCCGCTATGCCACCACAAGCTGGCAGGACGCCGTGGGGGGAGGTAGCAGCGGGGGGGGGAGGCGCAGGAGCGGGGGGGAAGGCGCAGGTGCAGCAGCAGGGGGCGGGGGGGGATTGGGAGGAGGGGGGGGGGGCAGGGGGAACAGGGGGGGGGCGCGCGGAAGGGGGTGTATCACTGCAACTACTGCCACAGAGATGTGACGGGGGAGGTGCGCGTGAAGTGTGCGGCGTGTGTGGACTTTGACCTCTGCGCTGAATGCTTCTCCGTGGGCGCCGCTGCTCACCTGCCTCGCACCCCTACCATGTCATGGTGAGTGGCTGGAGGGGCTGAAGAGGGAGGGAGATGGAAAGGAAGGGGGAATAGGAGGGTGAGTGGGAATGGCCGCCGCTGCCCACCCCCACAGGCACTCCCACCCCTACCACGTCATGGTGAGTGGGTGGGGGGGAAGAGGGAGGGGGAGGCGGTAGAGAGATGGGGGGGGTTGTGGGGGGGAACGGATGGAGAAGGGGGAAGCGGTAGGAGGTGTTGCTGCTCACCCGCACAAGCCCTCCCACCCCTACCACGTCATGGTGAGTTGAGGTGGGAGGAGGGGGAATGTGAGATGAAATGGGACGGGGAAGGTAAGGGGGAAAGGGTGCTGCTGCTCAACCCCACAAGCCCTCCCACCCCTACCTCGTCATGGTGAGTGGGGAGGGGGAGGGAGAGGGGGAGTGGGAGGGGGTAGCGGAGGGGGGAAGGGGAGGGAGAGGGTGATGGGGAGAGGAGAGGGACAGGGAGGGGATGGGGAGGGGGAAGCTCAGGGTGGTGAGTGTGATGGGAAGGGGGACGGGAGGGGAGTGGGGGGGAATTGGACAGCTGCGATAAAGACATGCTGTCCACTGTTCTGTCCTTTGCCTGTGTCAGCCTGCTCCTAAACACATGCCACTTTGAGTTAACATGTAAGTGCCAGTCTGCATGGACGCATTCTTACTGTGCCCAACCCACACCACCAGGACACGATGAGCTTCCCTCTTGTCCGTGAGGACTGGACTGCTGACGAGGAGATGCTGCTGCTCGAGGTGAGCCACGCTGCCTTGCTTGCCGTTACGGTTCTTCCTTTGTAGAAAGAGCCAACCAGCTTACATGTTGTTCAAAAGGACACGATGAGCTTCTCTCTCGTCCGTGGGGACTGGACTGCTGACGAGGAGATGCTGCTGCTCGAGGTGAGTATTTGTTATATTTCGTGTGTTTGTTTTATTTTAGCATTGAAAATATTTGTGTTGACAAAAAAAACAAAACCAAAAACAAAAACAAAACAAAAAACTTCTAACCGAGAGAGACGGGGGGGGATTAACCTCTCATTTCATTCTTCAGTTCATACTGAAAATTTCAGCGTTGCTCGTTCGAGGGAGCGAGAGAGAGAGGATTAGCCTCTCCCCCTTCTACCCTCTACCCTCAGCCTTCAGCCCTCTTCCATGAGTACTTAAGGGCCCTTGTGGCCTATTCACTCTCATTCTTCAGTTCAAACTGAAAATTTTGGTGCTTCGCGCCAGCGCTCGCGTGCGCGGCCTTCGGCCGCGCGCTAGCGGTGGCAAGTCGAGAAAGGTAGTAGGTAAGCAAATGGCTACATCAAGGGGAAGCAGCACCAACTAGACACGAAAGCATAGAGTGGGTCTACACCCGTGCAAGGGGGGCGCCTACATGCGGTCCGCCTCAAGCTCACCAAGCATTTCGCGCGTGGTCTGCCACATCTGGCGGACCACTGACGCGGTGGTGCCGACAACGTCAACGGGAGTTCCACGCATTGCTACAAGCGTCCTCCGATCCCGGGCCCTCTCAGCCAGGAGGGTGGCCGAGACTACTCCCGGCGAGGGCGCAACCTGTAGTGGCGATACGTACGAGAATAGTGCTGACGCCGCCACGTGACACCTTGCTCGCGGCATCTGAGAGAACGTGCTCGGTGGGGTCTCCAACATGGAGCCATGCGACTCCTGGAGAATCAGCTCAAGACTCTGCAGGCACTCCACCAGCGACCACAAGTGAGCCAGGGTCGCCGTGGGCACTTCTTTCATTGGCTGAAGGACAACAGCGGTGCGAGCATGACGAGACGACACGGCGAGATCTCGCGGGGGGGGACGAGGACGGGGCGGAGCAAAGTGGGCCCAAGGATCCCCTCCACCCGTGCCCACGAAGCCAGTTCCTGCGGGCAGCGGACGGCCAGGACGCACCAGAGACCCCACTGGGTCGTGCGGCAGGAGAGCAGCGAGGGGAGCGACAGGTGCAGCTAGGGGCGCTGTGTGAGAAGACGACTCCGCGATCGAGCGGTGGATCGCCTTCTCCACGCCGTCCAATTTCTGGAGAACGCGCTCCATTGCGGACGTTGCTTGACGCGCTGTTCCGCCTCGACCATTGCCCCCCCGCCGCCCACGTCGCCCACGGCCACTTGCATTCGAGCGCGCGGGCGATTGCGGGCGAGACGGCATGCGCTGGCGCGGGCGGTCTCGAGATCGGCCCCCGTGACGAGGAGAGTAGAGCCGCTGGCGCTTTGACGGCCGCGGCGAACGTGCAGACGGGGACCGATGGCGAGAGGCGTGAGGAGCAGGCGATCGGTGACGCATCGAATCGCGATCGGGTGAATGGTGACAACGTGACCGACGGTCTCGAGATCGGCTCCTCGATGCCCCGCGACGAGGCGAACGTGGCGAGCGTGGCAATGGCAGTAACCGTGGAGATCGAGGCTTGGTGTGACGTTCCACACAACGGCTCTCCCGCCCGCCGCCACGCACCACCGTTGAATGGCGACGAGGCGAATGCTCCCGGTGCACCGCAGCCACCGCACCGGAGCGCACGACGAACTCCGTGCGCGCAGGCGCCTGTCCGCGCCGCTGATCCTCAAAGCGGCGCCGGATCTGATCAGTAGTAGCCAGCGGATCAACAGGGACGCTCAAGGCAGGACGCGCACGAGGAAGTGGATGAGGAGCGAGTTCGCTCACCGCGGGATATCCGCGGCCGGGAGCGGCAAGTGGATCCATCGGATCAACGGGAGGGTGGCGCACGATCAGAAGCCGCTGCAACCTTCTCAGCACCGAGGAGGTCGACTGCAGCAGCAGCTGAGGCGTAGGAGGGGGCAAGAGGGGAGGGGGAGCACCCCTCAAAGAGGGGAGTGCGTGGAGTGCCACGGGCAGCACCTACAGCAAGGATGTTCTTCTCTGCTGCTAGGAGCTGCTGCTCGAAGTCGGCTAGCGTGATAGTGGTAGGGTCCTTGGTGAGGAAATGGTCCCTGACCGAGCTAGGAGTGTCAGGGAGGCGAGTGACGAGGATGTAGAGGGTAAAGTACAGCGGTGGGGTGTTCGTGGCGAGGAACTCGTCGGTAAGAGCGGCACGAAAGCGGGCGTCACTAGCGCGGAGGTGAGAGATGAGGTCCTCAGCGGTGGTAAACGAGGATAGGTCGGGGAACAGATAGGGCAGGATGAGGCGTCCTACGGCTGCAGTGGCTGGGGAGGAATAGCGCGCAACTACAGCGTCATACAACGCCTTAACAGTCTTGTGCTGACAAAAATTTGTGCGCTCAGTGATCGGCAGGTGGTTACGGATAGCGAGGCGCACAGCAGCATCACGATTCTGCCGCTGTGAGCAGTCAAGAACAGGATCAGTGGCAGTAGGGGCAGCGGCAGTGCCTGACGCGTGATCGAACAGAGGAACAACGTCTTTGGCATCGGTCATAAGAAATAGTTGCAGGTCGTCAAGCCAAGTGGCAAACTCTATCGGGCGACCGTCAAGCTCAAACGCGAGAACGTTAAGCGTCGCCATTACAGCAGCGTAGGCAAAGGCAGAAGACCACAGTAGCTATCAGGCTCACAAGTCAGGCTGGCGCAATGGATGCAAGGCGCAAGGCAGGCAGGCAGAAGAGCAGGCAGGCAGGCAGGCTAGTAGGCAGGCAGGTAGGCCGGCAGGTGCAAGGCAGGAAGGTGCAAGGCAAGGCAGGCGCAAGGCAGGCAGGCAGGCCGCAAGACTCAAGGCAGGCAGGCAGGCCAGTAGGCAGGCAGGCAGGCCGGCAGGTGCAAGGCAGAAAGGTGCAAGACAAGGCAGGCGCAAGGCGAGGCGGCAGCGTGCAGGCAGGGCAGAGCGCAGCAGCGACAGGCTGCACGGGGCTGCAAGCTGCGCACGGCTGCGGGCTGCGCACGGCTGCGGGCTGCTTGGGGCGATGTGCTGCGCGCGGTTGCAGGCTGCGCGCAGCGGCGGGCGGCGGGCTGCGTGTGGCAACGGGCTGCGCGCGGCTGCAGGCTGTGTGCGGCGTCGGGCGGCAGGCTGCGGGCTGCGCGCGGCTGCAGGCGACGGGCGGCTGAGGCGGGCAGCGCGACGCACTAAGCTGAAGTGGGCCATTCGCGAGGTGCAGTAGACACTTGAAGCATTTCAAGTGCTCCATGCCCTGGGATCAGTTCAAGTCGACGGAGGGATGTCAAGTTGCTAATTTGCGGAACCGAATAATCACACCAAACTTAGTTTTTGAGTTTCAGCTCCTCCAGCCATTTCATGGTGTCAAGGGGCTTTTTCAAGTCACATAGGTCGACATTTTGGGAAATCTTGAGGCTCTTTAGGGAGGTCAAGTACCATAGGTGTTGAAGTCCAAGCCAATTAGCTGCTCCAACGTCCTTGCTGAGCTCCAATACCGAAATGTTAGCAGGGTGAAACATGATCTTCCAATCTGCATTGTTAGGACTCCGATATCCAGTCGCATAAATAGCCTGGAAACATCAACACCTTGGAGATTAGCCAGGCAGACGGTGCACGAGCACCCAACATGCTAGTTTCTCACCTCCCTGACTTTCTTCGTTTCCTCTTTTTGCTGCTCCAACGTCTTTACAGCTTGCGTAGACTGCGCTACCAATGTAGACACAAGTGATTCCATCTCCTTGCTTATAAACCGTCCTTCACCCTGAGGAACCGTACCAGTCGTTGACTGACACAAAGTCTGTGAAATCGCCTAGAACAAGCACATCGTAGACAAAAAAAAACGTTAAACATGGGGTGAGTGGGCATCGTATGGTTTACGCTTGGGTAACATGCTTGGAGATGTTTCGGCTCACCTCCCAAATCTTGCTCGTTTCTTCCTTCTGATGCGACAGAGATTCCTCTGCATGCGAGAGTCGCACTGTCAGTGCAGCCACCTCCTTTTCCTTTTCCACCCTTGCAGCCTTCTCAGCTGCTAACTCATTCTTGAGCTCGTTTATGCTGTCGATGTTCTCCTCCCTCGAATCTTTTAAAAGTTTCTCCAGCTTTTCCAATCTATCAGTCAGCATTGGGCTCTCCATGATTTCCGAAGAGTTTCTTTGTCGCTGTTCCGCTTCCAACTCCCTCCTTGCATCATCGAATCGAACGGCTATCGTTGTCCCTACACTCATAATCTCCTCCAGAAGCCTTGCAGTTGCCGTCGCCATAGTGAACTCGACTCGCTTGTTGGCAAGAGGAAGAGCCGACGAGCTTGGTGAGGAGAATGATCAGCAAAAACGATAACTTTTGCATGAGGAAACTAGATTTTGATGGTACTTATTCTTTCTCGACGTCGGCGAAACTTTGCCCGAGAGACACGACGAAGAAGAACTTGGATCCGCGAGAGCAGAAACCATTCCAAATCCCCGCCGTGCGGACTTTACAACCAGCGCACAGCCCATCTGAGCGAAAAACAGATTATTATTCGCGCTGGGCGTACGACGCGTCTCGCCAGATTTGTCATTTTCGCTGCTCTTCAGGCAAGAGGATGGCATAAACAAGGCGTAAATAAGGCGTGAACAAGGAGAAAATACGGAAGGCGTGAAGAAGGCGTGGATTAGGCGTGAACCTGGCAGCGTGTTCCCCGCTGCTCGTCAACATGTGTGGGGGACAAAACCTTGTTATAATCAGTGAGTGGAATGTCTCTATAGGATTGCACATTGCGAGTTGATGTCTAGGTTTCGGTACAATCAATCCACTGATGTCTTGCTATCAACCACCAAGAATGTGAACATTCTAGGAATTTAGCAATTGATACACCTCAGAACCACGGAAAAACACTAACTGATACTAGTAGATGTGAGTACACAGTGGCTTTGGCAATTAGATGTTGCTTGCTTCACCACCACCCAAACCGGCAGCTTCAGCTATTCAGCCAGCCCCTGGCAAATGCATGAAATCTACGTCAGTGGCGGCAGGGGGCAACCTGATCTCACATGCCCTCTTGCTTCACCATCCCCCCTCCCATCGCCCCTCCCATCCCCCCACCAGAACTGTTCCCCCCAGCTTCAGCTATCCAGCTAGCCCCCAGCAGGAGTCTAAAGATTGCGTCAGTTGTGGCAGGGGGCAGGCAGAAGAGTCGATGCACTGCTGCTCGTGAAATGGCCCCTCCCGACAGGGCTGCTTGCTGCAAAATAACCTGTTCCGATGGGGGAGAGGGGATGGGGGATCGGGGGATGTAGGGAGAAAACGCAAGGAACATGCCGTCAGTGATGGCGGGGGCAGGCGGAAGAGTCGGTGGCACTGCTGCTCGTGAGATGGTCCCCCCTGATAGGGCTGCTTGCTGCAAGATAACCTGATAAAATGGGCGGGACGGAAGGAGGGGATGGAAGGAAAGAGGAAGGGTACATGACGTGAGTGGTGGCAAGGGGCAGGCTGGAAGAGTCGGTGCACCGCTGCTCGTGAAATGGTTTCCCCTGACATCGCTGCTTGCTGTAGGATGACCGGATGGGAGGTAGAAGGGGTGGCCGAAGGGAGAGAAGACAGGGCACATGGTGTCAATGGTGGCTGGAGGAAGACGGAACTGTAAGTGCACTGCTGCTCCTGAGAAGGTCCCTCCTGGGAGCGCTGCTTGTTGCAAGATGAACTGATGGATGGGTGGGAGAATGGTTGGCGTGAGAAACGAGGCAGGGCACACACATCTTGTCAGTGGTGGATTGCGCAGGGAAAAGGGTCGGTGCACTTCTGCTTGTGACGTGGGTGGTTGAAGCAGGCCCTTAGACAAGTCTTAACAAGCTAACCTGTTTGGCCCTCTTGAGCCTACTTAGTAGACTGGTCATACACAAAACTACAATAAGATTCTCACGTGCTTGGCCCGGAGGTAGTGTGTCGGCAGCAGTCAAGAGTTTAGGCATGCGGTCAGTGTGGCCTCATTTAGGCTCCTCACACGCCTACACAAAGAACCTCACCTGCTTGGTTCGGAGGTAGTGTGCTGGCAGCATGCCGTGCGCGCGTGTGCATACACAGCTAATACTAATGAGTGTACACACTCTTTAAGTTCCTTAAAAGAGACATCATACACACACACGCGCGTGCTCACGCACGCACACACGCACGCACGCACGCACACACGCACACACAACGCACACGCACGCACGCACACACACACACACACACACACACACACACACACACACACACACACACACACACACACACACACACACACACACACTAGGCGATTTAGCAGCACACTAAGGTAGTGGCCCAGCACACGAATCTCACCTGCTTGGCGCGGAGGTAGTGTGCTGGCAGCCAAGTTCTGAGGCCGGAATTGCGTGCATCAAAGTCAAACCTTCTTCACCAAACTCACCTGCTTGGCTCGAAGGTAGTGAGCTGGCAGCAGGCGCATGTGCGTGCACAGCTCACGCTCCTGAGCGGATGGCAGAGTTTGGCGTTGTTTGTCGTGATCCGGAAGACATGCACAAGTGGAAGGACAGCAAGTGGACACATGTGTTAGAGGGAGGAGAGAAGGGAGGTTGTGAGGAAGGGAAGAGGTTTGCTTTGAAGCATGGACTGAATAGAAAGGAGGAGTCAACAGAAGAAAGATGAAACGGTTTGGAGGCAGAGCGGAGCAGTCACAACAACACCGAGAGGCATGAAGGCAGCATGGAAAGGAGAATGGGAGGCATGTAGATGGTTGGAAGATACCCGCCCTTGTGATCTCACCTTGGCAGATATCATCATAGCGCAATATGATTAGAGCGCAACCCGATTAGAGCGAAATAATATATTGGGAATGAACCTCTCACCTTGGGTGACAGCAGGTCGCATCCAGGGTGGGAGGAGATGTCAAGAGCTGCTGAAGCGCCTCCTGATGATGCTGTGCTGATGGCTGGTGGCGCAAGTGGCAAGGGAGCAAAGAGGGAGAGGGAAAAGTGGCAGAATGGAGAAGAACAAGCAGGGAAGACGGAGCACAAGGCGATGAGAAAATGGGATCTCTTGCTGATCGTGCTACGCCATTGGCTGTGAGTGCAATTGCAGCAGCAGCAACAGCAGCGGCAGCGGGGTTGTCCTTGTGGCACTGACTGCGATACATGTGTTGGTGCTAGCTAGCTTTCACACACCTGTGACAGAGAGTGGGTAACACACCTGTGGCGGAGGGTGGAAGGCATGCAATAGCAGCAGCGGCAGCGGCGGGGTTGTCCTTGTAATGCGCCTGGATGAACCTACGACCCTCTGCTAGAGACTTGCACCCCGCTGCTCTCAACTCCTGTTGTTGATGGGAGAGGATAAAAAGAGAGTACGTTAAGAGGAGCAGCAGCAGCAGCGGGGTTGTCCTTGTAATGTGCTTGAATGAACCGACGGCCCTCCGCCAGTGACTTGCACCCCGCTGCTCTCAGCTCCTAAAGGGGTTGGGAAAGTAATAGAAGAGAGTACAATAGAAGCAGCAGGGGCACCACTACGGGCGGGTTTGTCCTCGTAGTGAGCCTAAGTGAACCGACGGCCCTCTGCCAGAGGCACTGAACCTGCAGCACGACCACTTTGTCTCTGAGTCGCTGCACCTGGGTGAGGCTCTGCACCAGCTCCTCCTCCTAGTGCTGCTTCTCTTCCCGGCCGACCGACCACTCACCCCCACAAAAGCTTCTCTCGCCTGCAGCACGGCCACTCTACCTCTGAGTCTCTGCGCCTGAGTAAGGCTCTGCAGCAGCCTCTCATGCTCCTTTGAGCGTCAGATCAGGACTACTAGGTGCTATTTCAGACAAACTAGAAGCCTCACCTGCAGCACGGCCACTCTGTCTCTGAGTCTCTGCGCCTGAATCAGGCTCTGCACCAGCCCCTCGTGCTCTTCTGCACCCAAATATCTACAAGCAAGCTGCTCTAACCTGCAGCACGGCCACTCTGTCTCTGAGTCGTTGCTCCTGAGTCAAGCTCTGCACCAGCCCCTCATGATCCTGGGAGCGCCAGGTTAGGACTACTAGGTCCTATTTCAGACAAACTAGAAGGCTCACCTGCAGCACGGCCACTCTGTCTCTGAGTCTCTGCGCCTGGGTAAGGCTCTGCACCAGCCCCTCATGCTCCTCTGCACTGAGAAATCTCGCAAACACGCGGCACCGCAGAAACATCTCCCTCTCCTCCTTCGACCTTCTCCTCTCCCCACCGACCCCACGCTTCCCTCCGCGCTTCCCTCCCCCTTCCCCCTTCTCCACCCCACCCTCTCCCGTTTCTGCCCCCATCTCCCCCAAGGTTCCCCCTTCCCTCTCCCCTCCCTGTTCCACACCATCCTCTCTCTTGTGTTGTTCATCTGTCCTGTCCCTGTCCCGGTTCCTAACTCTCTCCCAGCTGCCGGTGGTGGTTCCGGGTCGGATCGTTCCGTCCACTCTTCTTGGGTCCAGCAGGCCACGTTCCAGGATGAAGGCCTTGCGTCTTGACCGCTCTTCCAGCCTGAAGGGGAGAGGGGAAAGCGAGAGGGTGGGGAGGAAGGAGTGGCGTTACATCGGGTCTAGCAGACCACGCTCCAGGATGAAGGCCTTGCGCCGAGACCGCTCTTCCAGCCTTTAAGGGAGAGGGGTGGGGGGAGGGGGGAAAGCTTTATAAGTAACCGTTCTTCTTGGGTCCAGCAGACCACGCTCCAGGATGAAGGCCTTGCGCAGAGATCGCTCTTCCAGCCTTTAAGGGAGAGGGGTGGGGGGAGGGGGGAAAGCTTTGTAAGTAACCGTTCTTCTCGGGTCCAGCAGACCACGCTCCAGGATGAAGGCCTTGCGCCGTGACCGCTCTTCCAGCCTGAAGGGGAGAGGGGTGGCGGGAGAGGGGAGAGGGGAGGAGCGGGAAGGAAATGTAGTGGAATGATGCTGCGCAAGTGACGACTCTTCTCAAGTCTAGCAGGCCACGTCTCAAGACAAAGGCCTTGCGCCGGGACCACTCTTCCAGCCTTTAGGGGAGAGGAAGAAGGGGACGAGACGAAAGGGGGAGATGACATTGTGTGAGTGAAAGTGGTTCCTCGGGTCTAGAAGGCCACTCTCCAGAATAAAGGCCTTGCGCCGGGGCCGCTCTTCCAGCCTGTAGAACAGAAGGGAGGAGGGTGTCGAAGAGAAAAGGCCCCGCCCTAGCTTGTGCGAAGTCGACCATGCATTTCGGAACAAGACGGTGTTCGTTTCGTGGTCATCGGCGACTTCGGGGACTTTTATCTGTGTGCGACGAGTCGTTTGTCGACGAGATTAATTGGTCGAGGTAGAAGTGTTTCCTCTGCTCGATCAAAGTCCTCGTCTAGAAGGAGCTCGTCGACGGGAGTGAAACAGCGTCGAAGACGAGCCTTTCTGATAGACGGAATTGGCAGAATTGGTCTTTCGACGAATTGCTGGTCAACAGAATTTAGTTCGACGAGTGTTTCGTCGAGCAGATCGATTCTGGTCGACCACAATTACTTAGCTCCAAAATTCGCAATGTGCGCGAATTTCGCCCAATCACGGAACAACAAATTTCGACCAATCAGGCAATTTCGGAAATTGTACTCCCCAGGAGAATTTGATTCAGTAAGGAAACTGAACCTGAAACACGTTTTTACTAACAGTAAAAACGTGCACAACTATGAACGTTGTAAACCTGAGCAACTACCAACTCAGGTGAAATATGCATGTGCTCGTCGTTTCACCTGCCATTGCCGACTCGACAGATTCCAGTGCTTTTCGAGGAACGTTTCTACAGGGTTCGTTATCTTTGCTATTTGATTCTCTTTGCTTGTACCATAATCTTGTCCTATGAACTTTTGCTAGTGGAACTATGCTTGAATTCTACCAAGGCAACTAAGTCTACTTCTGAGAATCACTGCCACGGTCTCTGACCGTGTGTCCCACGCTAGTCAAGCTCTACCGTAGAATAGTATTCTTCGCATGGTGCGGTGAGCGTGGACGGCCCCGCGTTAGAACCTTCACATAGCCGACTTCTGCGTTCATTACCTAAGTTGTTGTTAGGCCGGCAGCCGTCTTAGTCGCCATGGTCGACCCCGTCGTTGAAACGGGCGTAGAAGATACCCTGGAGGCGAGAGAGGCTGGTGTTCGGGCACGCCACGAGGCTGGCGAGTACGGCGAGGCGGACTTGGAGATTCTGCTCCTTGGAACTCGTGCGCAGTGGGCGCGTGAGCATCCTCCTCTCCGTGAGGCAGCTCGAACGGCAACGACGGTCATCTGCGGAGTGGAGTCAGGCCGACTTCGGCGACTCATGCGTCGGCTGGTCGAGAGGAGACATCGCGCCGGCGTACGGATATTTTAAATTTTCGCCGGACAAGATCGCTGTGCCGAAGCTGCTGGAAGGTCGACACGACTTGATCACGTGGATTGAATTTATTGAACCTCAGCTGGAGATCGCCGGATTGAAGAAGTTCGTCGACGGAACTGGTCTAGCGCCGGACGAGGAGGATGTGGAGCTCTGGTCGGAATTTCGCGCTGCTCATCTTCGAGGTGTTGCTCGCCTCTGGAGCAGGTCACATTGAAGTCGTGCAGACAACGGGTGGATGCTGGCTACCAACCGTGGCAGTACATCATGCGCACCTACAAAGCGACCGACGACCTCTACATCAGTCAACTGGAGAAGAAGTTGACCAACATTCGGATGGGCGAGCAGGAATCGGTGACCGAGTACTACAATCGAGCGCGGCGGGTTTTGGCCGATCTGCGGATGGCCGGCGTCGACTACTCGGTGGCGTCGTACGTCACCCATGTCATCAGCGGCTTCCTTTCGGGCTACAATATGATGCGCCGGATGCTGACGATTCCCGGCATGCGCGAGACTCTGAACGAGGACTCGCTTTCGAGCCACATCATCCAGGACGCGTTCATGTAGGAGTCTGAGCGACCTGCAAAACTGCTTCCGCAGGCCAACTACGTCGCTCCGGCGAAGAAGGGACGCCAACACGGGCAGCGTGGGAAGTCTGCTGGAGGTGGAGGTGGGAAGTCATCGACCGCGAAATCGACGGAGGGCGCCGACCGCGGGAAGTCGGTGAAAGGTGGAGATCGCGGCAGCAGTGGCTCGCGTTGAGAAGGCCGCCGTTGCTACATCTGCGATGCTCCCGACCACCTCTCGTACCACTTCCCCGACCGAGATGAGTATGACGATGACCAAGATGCCAACCGCAGAAAGTATGATGCTGGCCATCATCGAGACAATCAGCCGTGCAAGGAGATGCAGCCGTCGAAGACGTCTTCAACGAAGGATGCGGACTCCTCTGGCGGCAACGCTCATGGCGAGGAGGCTTCGTGCTCGATGGTCAGCGTGGTGGAGCCGACGATTTCGCTGGCGCTCGAGGCTGGAGAAGAGTTCAAAGCGGTCGCTGCTGTTGTGCAGGCCAATCCGACCATTGTGCTGCTCGACAGCGGCTGCTCCCACCATCTGATGGGGACGAAGGAGGCCTTCGTCGACATGCAGCCGAGCGGCGACGTTCGCCATGTCCGCGGCTTCAACGGGGCACTTCGGAGCGTTGAAGGCAGAGGCACCGTTGCTCTACAAGGGGAGGCCGGGAAGCAGATCCTTGTCCCCGACGTACTCTACGTTCCGGGTGTGCACGCGAACCTTCTGTCTGCTGGCCAGCTCAAGGAGAACGGCGTGAAGCTGCAGGACGACGGCGGAGAAATGTTGCTGGTGTCTTCTGCCGGCGATGTCCTTGGTTGAGCACGCTACTCCGGCACAATTCTCTGCACCGACCTGCGCCCCAGCTTGACGAAGCTGACGATGACTTCGACGGAGGTAGTAGCTCTGCGGACTATTGCGTCGGCGACGAAGTTGACCCCGGGCATGTTGCACGCACGGCTTGCGCACGTCGGCGTCGACACGATTAGGAGCTCGGCGAAGCATGAGGTCGGTGCCGGTCTGGACATCAAAAAGTCGACCGCAGATGATCTGCCGTGTGCCTCCTGCGTCAGCGGAAAACTTGCATGGCACACCTTCCCCAATCAAGGATCGGACGCCGAGAATGCACTTGATGTGGTGCACATCAACCTCTGCGGGCCATTTCGAGTGGCCGCCAACGATGGCAGCCTCTACTTTCTTCTGCTGGCAACCGAAAAGCCAGAATTCGGTGCACGCAACCTAGCTTGGTGCTATAACTATAATAAAATATAGGAAAGCACCTAGCTTAGGAAATCAAGCAATTCATGCATGCATATGATTATCCTATGCTAGAAATAGCATGATAAAGTAGAGGCAAGCAAGCATAGCTGGCATAAGCCGTCGTACTCTCACAGTCGCCCGCGTGATCTGCGTCGACGTAACCGATAAGCTTAGGCGTTGTAGTTGCGTTCTTATGGTAGGTCAGGCCGACCTTCGGGGTGCTGACAAGGTAGTGAATAGCGCGGGCGGGCTCCGCCAGATGTTCCGCTTCAGGCCTTTTGAGGTGGGTGGCGAGCTGGCTTGCAGAGTAGGATAGATATGGGCGGCAGGTGACAGCTGCGAAGAGAAGGCAGCCCAGCTTTCTCTGGTAGTCGCGTAAGCCGGCGGGCTTGAGTAGAGCAGAGCCTTCCTTGTTGTTTGCTGTCGTGTAGCGGTACTATGTGGAGATCACAGTTGGTGTAAGTGCGAAACGCTTGGCGATGGTGTCGACGTATTTCGCGGCGCTGAGGTAGATATCGTCTTCTTCTTCCTGCATGTTGAGGCCGAGGTACTGAGTAACGATAGATGAAACTATGAGCGTGAGATCTCGCTGCAGCTCCCCTTCGAACCAGGTGGTGATGCCGTCAGTTGAGCCGATGTAAAGAAGATCGTCCACGTAGACGACTAGTAGGATGTAGTCGTCGTTTTTGGTGAGCCGGTACATGCCTTGATCGTGCGGTAGTTGCTTGAAGCCGATGCGGATGAGGCGAGCGTGCAGGTACTGTTGCCACAGTCGCGGGGCCTGCTTGATGCCGTAGAGTGACTTGAGTAGCTGGCAGACTTGGTTGGGTTCTCCGTGGGAGCCGTGCGGTAGCTCAACGGAAATTTCAGCATCAACAAGTGCGTAGAGAAACGCGTTCGCGACGTCAATTTGTCGCAGCTTCTTCTTGTTCATGGCGGCGATTGCGAGGAGAATGCGTAATGAGGTGTGGCGGCTAACCGGAGCGAAAGTTTCGGTGAAGTCTGTCAGAATGTTATATTATGTTCTAGCCTGTAGTGGGGTGCTCTATAGCGAGTACAACCCTTCTAGGGTTTGCTATTTGTATCCCCATTTCTGCTAGTTCAATCCCCTTTCTTTCTTCTAATTTTGTCATGC